AAGCAGAAACATGTGCTGTTTTTTTCTCATAAATGGGTTAGGTGTACCAATCTCCCTTGCTGTAAAGCTTTATAGATCTTGCTATCAACAATTTTCACAAAAATGATACATTTCTGTGTCTCTTCAGTTTCTGTTTACTTTTTAAATGCCAGAATAGAAAGTGAAGTCACATTGCCAAGGTGCCATTTGATCATTTTGCTCGCTGTGATGCAAATGATTTACCTATACACTGAAGTATTACCATAAATTACAATGAAACTCCTTGCCAAAACATGCAGTAGCAGTTCCAAGACGTTACTTTTTACCTTTAAATCCAGAAACTCAACTTTCAGCCATTAGTAGTAGCCTCATGCTGTTAACATGAGAGAGGACTGCTTTACTTAAAAGGAAACAGTCGCAGAGCAGGGGATGAAATGCTTCTTGAACGAGATGAACAATCCTGTCCACAGCGGTTTTAGACTATTGGGAAGCTCAGTAGGCAGCTGGCAGCACAACTTGGGTAGGAAGAGCTTAAGGGTGAGTGCAGCTCAGCTCAGAACAGCCTTCTGTCGTTCTGTCTAGGAAGACATAAACAAAGAAGCGTGATGAGAAGAAACTGATATCTTGGAGGGAAAGGAAAGATTAGATCAATAGTAGGGAAAAAGTTTTAACAATGTGATTCTTTAGATAGAAAGCTGGTCTCAAAAGACCCATCACTTGACACATGAAAAATTGATTGGAGAAAGCAGCAGCAAATAGTTTTCCAGGAAAAAATGTTGTATTGACAGGAGGATGGATAAGATGATCACAGTTCATTTAATTAAGTTACCTCCAACAGCATCATGAAGTAGGTGAATATATGGGAGGTTTCTTAGATCGTGTGGATTTTGAACAAACCAGTCAGTAGGCAGCAACATTGCTTTGGAGATCAGCAAATGAAGAAAAACAGCTTCAGTTGAAAGGGAACAGTTTTGACTGAAACAATTCATATTCCTTAAAGATTGTCGGGTTTAGAATACTGACATCAAATCTCATTGTCAGTGGATATTTTCTTCAATGGCTATATTTCTACTGCTAAAATGCAACACAACGGATTCATTCCTAGGCTCCATTTGTTCAAATCAACAAAATTTTTGTCACACCACTGTTAAACCTGAGATGCCTCAAATAAAGAGTATAACTTGGCTTGAAAACAGCACAAAGGATTAACGTCATCCATGCTATGGAGAAAATAGCCAATACTAAACAAGATGAGTTTGAAACCAATTCAAAAGGCATCTTTTAATATCTAATTTTTGTTGAATTCTTTGTGTCCTACATTCTAGTAATTTTGTTGACTGAGTTGTGTGTTTAAATTTATACAGCATTTGGATTCCTATGATTATTCATTTGTAAGGCTGTGAATGCTTATTAATGGCTCCTGGCTTTAGAATGAGCGTTTATGCTTCCAAAGCAGCACGTGACTAATTTGTTTTTCTGCTTCCTCGAAAGGAACAGGGGTTGTCAAGAAGCCAAATCTACACTGAATTAAAACCACGCTGCTTTGCTTCTGTGGAAGAGGGGATACTTGGATGCTGTAAAAAAAGTCACACTTCAATTGAGCATCAGTTCATCACTGAAATTACAAAGTGGAGCAGTTGTAGAGGTAAGGTGATGAGAAATGCAATTTCTCCCGGGCCTTATTTTGGAGAAACCTTACATTTGTATGGTGCTGCTTGTATACTTCCCAGGGAGAATAAAAAAGC